ACTTTAAATCCTTGAAGACAGCTTTCACTTCTGTTTTTCAGGTTACACATTTCTAATTTCTTTAATTGTCTTTTATCTCCTCTGGTCTCAAGGTGCTTCACCAACCTGGCTACATTTCCCAGAACACTCAACAGGTTTTCAATGTCATACCTCAAATGTGTTTCCCAGAACTCAGTACAACATTCTAGATGTGGTGAGGTCAGGGCAGAATCGAGCTAAACTATACCTTCCTTCACTCTGGATATAAACATAGAGGAATGAAGTCCACAATTACATTAGTTTTTCTAAGGTCATGTCATAAAACCTACTCATGTGGAATTTGTGATGGCTTGGTCTTTTTCACAGGAACTGTTACCTGGTGTTGCCTTCCCCTTTCTGTACTTGTACAAATGATACACTAAAAACTTCAATTGTTAAGTTTTTAAATGTATTGCTATTGCAACAGAAAACATCTAAGAATCCATTGATAGATACTGCTGACAATTATAACCATTAACAATGTTGAGATGTGATAAAAATAATTTTATTGTACTTAAAACATAAATTAAATTAAAAAATCAGTGACTTCTGAGCAATAATTTCGGCAACCTTATGTAAATTTCAGTTACATAGAAGGAAGGGCATAGGGTAATTTACAGAAAGTAGAAGGGGAAGTTAATGATTTACATACCAAAGAACACGTGGCAGAAGGGAAGATCTGTATCAAGCAAAAGAAGATACTAGACAGTAAATACTGGGGGTACAGCTGGAATTTGCAAGCTAATCACTTGACACCAGAGCTACAGTTTGATGTCTCAGCTTGATTCTGCAGAATCAGGTTATGAGACCTGCTCGTTTTAACTAATGGGAAGTAAGAAAGTTAAGCTAGAAATTCTCTTCTCACTGTCCTTGCTTTTGGAAGTAGATTGCCTAATATTCTTGTACATCTCACTGATCTTCTCTCTGAATGCCTTAATATAAGTTTTCTGACAAGTAGATTCATCTACAGGTAGATTAGGAATTAGGAAGTATTAGGAAACACTGAATACAACAGCAAAGCAAAAGAAATACAATAACTATTAGTAGTATTACATGCAACAAACCCCAGGTGTGCCACCCACATGTCCCTTCATTTTTAATCTCCACCAGATCCTTCCCAACTTCCCAGTGTAATTCAGGTGCTGAGCAAACACATATGTGTAACATTCAGTTAACATCCATTTAAACAGCAGATTTTTTTTTATTCTGTTGTCTTGGATTTAGCTATCTATCTCGTGAAGTTGTCTGCTTCCAGGAATCATTTTCTGTTTGAAATTCTGTGTCAAAGGGGGTCTGTCCTTGACTACCGTCTACAAAGTGTCAAGTTTGATCCACTAAAACTCAGAAACAAATCAACATCTTGGTGTCTTTAACTGGGGTGTTAGTTGTTAACAGTACCTAGAATGGGGGCAGCTAGGTGGCGCAGTGGATAGAGCACCAGCCCTGAAGTCAGGAGGACCTGAGTTCAAATCCAGCCTCAGACCAAACACTTGGCACTTACTAGCTGTGTGACCCTGGGCAAGTCACTTAACCCCAATTGCCTAAAAAAAAAACCCAAAAAACAAAAAACCCCAATACCTAGAATGGGCCTTCTTCCCAGGAAGATTTTGGAGAGACAGATCGACTTTCTAGGCTCCAGTCACTTATGGAGGTTACCTAGGTAATGCTATTAAAACCTGCAAGTAATAAGACTTAGTATTATTTATTAGGGCCTGACAAAACATAATCACATTGGCCTTCTAGTAATTAGTTCATGTGATGAAAACCAATTCAAATCTTATGGTTAAACTTATAAACATCAGAACTATAGGAAGAACATCAAATTAGGCTACCTATACCTCACGTGAAAGTTTAGATCATTTCACCACTTGTTCTGTTTATCTTTATCTGAATCCTGTACGTGATATGGATATTTCTATAGATAGGGTAGAGGAAGAATAAGAAAGAAAGAGAGAAAGAGAGAAAGAGAGGAGAGAAAGAGAGAGAAGAAAGAAAGAAAGAAAGAAAGAAAGAAAGAAAGAAAGAAAGAAAGAAAGAAAGAAAGAAAGAAAGGAAAAGAAAGGGAAAAAAATTCTTAGAGACAAAATAATTCTATTTTAGAAAAGCTCATAAAATAAGGTAAAAATGGTTCTTTTTAAAATTATTTGAAGCTTTAATAAAAATTTAGTTACAATATTAAACCCTGTTATTTAGTAGTAGTTCTTCTCCAGTATCGTCCTAATTTAAAAATTGGCTTTTTAACCAAGCAATTAGAACACACTGCAGACTTTTGTCCCCTTCACATCCATTTAACTATTTTGCACATACTGAAATGCTGTTGACAACCAATCCATTTAATGTATGAGCTTAAACAAATTGAAACAAAATTTTTCTTAGAGCTAAGTTCTTTAAGATTTTCTAATTGTGGTGCTAGACAAGACTTTTGAGAGTCCCTTGGACAGCAAGGAGATGAAATAAGAAAATACTTAAAGAAATTAATTCAGGCTATTCACTGGAAGGTCAAATACTGAAGCTGAAGCTTAAAAACTTTGGCCACATAATAAGAAGATGGGACTCATTGGAAAAGACCCAGATGTTGGGAAAGATCGAAGGCAAAAGGAAAAGGAGATGGCAGGGGATGAGATGGATATATAATACCATGGAAATAATGAATATGGTCTTGGACAGATATTGAGAGATAGTGGAGGATAGAAGGGCCCTGGTGTGCTATGGTCCATGGGGTCACAAGGAGTTGGCCACAACTGAATGACTGAACAACAACTGTAAATATCTATTGTGTGGTTTGACAAGGGGCCAGATTTCTGATCATCTTGAGAAACACAAGTATTTTCCTTCTTTTTTTCCAAATGTATGTACATATACTGTATATACCCCCAGGAATAGTAGTTTAAAAGTTTCTTAATGACTAAAACATTTTCATATGTGAAAGCTTCATTTCAGCTTGAGACCTTAGCAACAATTAGTAATGCATATCCAAAGACAGTTACTAAAACATATCCAAAGCCTATTATTAAAATTTATCCAACGCATGTGTATTTAGGCATCTGTATATATATATATATATATATATATATATATATGTATATATATATATATATATATATGAATATTCAAATGGGACATGAATGACACTTAAAATATATCATTTAGTATTATCATCTTTGCTTGGCCTTTTCCATTGCTTTTCACCGGCACAATGGCAGAAGTTCTAAGGTTATTAATATAATTACAATTATTATGAGTCCTTTAAACATATTCCTTTATTCCTTGAAAATGTTTAAAAGCCAATTACATATATCCTAGTTTTCAAAGGGAAACATTTCCTTCTCCGTTTTCACTTTACAGATCAAGATTGAGAGACCCAAGGAGATTATTTAATCAAGACACACAGGTAGTAAGCACCAGAAGTAAGATTTCACCTAGGTTTTCTGATTCCAGAGATAGTGCTCTCTTTTGTGCCATGCTGCCTCCATCTAAATCATGATAAAAGAAATAAATTGAAATGTTAAAAAGTACAAGGACAGATCCCTGTGGCAGTTTACTAATAGAACTCTCTCCAGGTTGACATTGTTCCATTAATCCACACTTTAGTTCCATTCGTTCATTCAGTTCCAAGTCTACCTAACTGTGTCATTATCTAGACTACATTGCTTCATCTTGTCCACAAAGGGGATCACAAGAAACTATAAAATAACTTGACTGAAATCCAAGTATATGTTTTAGGTATATGTGTGGCTATAGTTTTCCATTAATCTACCAACCTAGGAAATCTGTCAAAGAATGAAATAGGCTTAGTCTGTATTTGTTCTTACTGAAGATATTGTGATAATCACTGCTTCCCTTTCTAGGTAATGACAGCCATTCCTTTACTCATACATTCTAGAATTTTTCTATAGTTTTTTTTTCTTTCCCCAAGATCACAGAGATAGTTTAGCAGTCGTACCTGATAATTGCCTCAGTACCTTCAAACACAATTTATTTGGGCCTGGAGGCTTGACTTCATTCGAGTGCTTTTTTGCTATCTTCTAATTTATCTTATGTTTCAATTCTCTCTTAATTATTTTTGTTCCTACATTCTAGTCTAAATTTTATTCTTTCTAGAGAAAAAATAAAAACAGGATAAGGGTTGAATAGTTAGCTCTGCCTTCTCACCATTGTTTTTATTCAACAGAACCAGTGATAGTATTCCTTTATTCTAATCTCCTTTCCACAAAAGAGGGCCAGGTGGTTACCAGTAAAATCAAAGGCAGAGTTTATGGACTCTGACTAAACTGGAAAGCACAAGCAAGTTTCTGAGTGGAATTAAGTAGGCTGGCGTTGAATGTTTGGCTGACTCCCAAAGTTACAGAGAAGCAGTGGGGCTAAGATAGAGGTAAGGGCAAAGTATATTTGCTCGAAGTCCAAACCAGCCTGAATGGTAGAGACAGGGATAGAATATGATTGCACGGGCATGGGTCACAGTTCGAGTATCCATTTGGACATGAGGAAACAAACAGAAAATGGAGCTCAGAGTAGGAGAATGGGAGTAATGTCCCAGGACTGAGATTAATGAAGTAGGTTCACACAATAGCACAACTGGTTTTGTTTTGTTTTGTTTTTTGCCATTCTATTGTATTCAAATAAGGGTTAGAAAGTATATGCTGTTTCCTAGAGCAAGACAGAGTATTATGGATTCTAGTGTTTGTAACAGAACTCAGTGATGATCCTCGCAGTTCTAATGATAACCTTTAGCAATTACTTCATAAATTTAATTGAGAGACTGCATGTTTCAGTCAGACCTTGGGCAAGTCCTTAAAGTTCTATAAGACTTAGTTTCTTCATCTGTAACAGGAGTGAACAGGACTTGGTGACTGCAGAAGTCTCTTCTAATTCTAATTCTATGAGCCTTCCTTCAGTCCCAAATGTATTTACTTTAAATCTTTCTTGGTTTGTGTGAGGCTTGTTTGTAATACCAGGATCAATACAATAGTCAGTTCTGCCAGGTTTGAAAAATCTTTGTTCTGCAAAAAGGTTTAAGGGCCTTAGGTTTTTTCACTGTTAGCTGGTATCCAACTCTCATTAACTAAGTACTCAGTTTCTCTTGTTCTCTTTGAAATGAAGACACTGGCTCATTGCTTCACATGGTTGCCAAAAGCCAAAAAGTTAGGCAGCACATTTTCTGTACATCCGTGTTCATGTTAGTGGCAAGTGTCCCTTTGATGGTCCTTCGGTCCAACTAGAAAAGAGTAATTTTCCTTTTTCAAAGGTAGAACAGGGCTTTCCCCTTCCTGTTAGGTATTTAGCTTCTAAGCATTTATTGATTAATTAGTTTCATATACAGTAAAAGCTTAGTTATTTGTAGTCAGCCTTCTGCCATCTTCAAGTATCTGCAATTATTCTGAAAATAGAAAGAAGCTGAAAAAAATACTTTCAACAATGAAGGAATAGTTCCTGAGAAACCAACAGCATCAAAAAATAACTAGAGACTATTATTCCAAAACATGACACTCTGTGTTCTGATGTATCCTCTGTCTCTAATCTGTTTGTGTTGTGTTGTGTTGTGTTTTTTAAATAAGAAGACCTGGAGATAACACATTATGTAATAGGCTGGCTCACCAAGCAGGAAGAAGAAGACTCTGAGGTTCGAGATCCACGAAAAGCCAACCTTTTGACACAAAAACCAAGGACCATGGGAGAAGCAACAAAAAAAAAAGAAAGAAAGAAAGAAAGGAAAGAAAAGAAAAGAGAAGAAGAAAAGAAAGTCAAAGGAAAAAACTAGGAACGGAGTACAGAGTTTGGAAGTCATGGTGATGGCAATAACAGAAGTGCTGACAGACATTACATGTGGTGATGAAGGGTGATGAGCTGCAGACACTTTGACAGTGAGGAAGGGAGCCATAGATATAGACCAAGGACAGAACAGCTCTCTTGTGTGGTCCCTTACAGGATTAAAATCAGTCATGCTTTCCTTCTTAATTAATTTACATTAATATTGGACATGTGAGTTACAAGTATTTCTATTTCTCATAAATAGCATTTTGCATAGCCAGCCATCACTGATGAATACTTGTCACACCAATCATTTTTGAAAATCATTTTGCTGTTTGCATTTTCCACAACAGCTTGCCATTTATCATTTAAAAAAAATAATCTGCTCTCTGTTTTCTACTTCCCCTACAACTCACTGATCAGAGTCTCATATTTGATTTACTGTTTAACTTCTTTAAAAAAATCTCCAAACATTCCTTCTCTTCTCCAATTTAATTACTACTTCTTGTAATTGTATTTTTCTTTCTCATATTTTCTTTTTTATTAAGAATTTCATGAACACAAAAAAAGAGGTCACTATGTACAAAAAAGAACAGAAAAGGATTACAGATGAAAACAAATCTCTATTATGTATAGCTTGCTTATAAGAAAAGTATAAAACAAATTCTCCATGTTACTTTTCAAAGTTGTCTTAATGGTCTGTTTCCCTCTGAATTTCTTTCTGTTCATTAAAAAAAAATGCTTAAATGACTTCCTTCTCCTCCTCCTCTGAATACCATTGCTAGCTTTCTTGTCCTTCCCAAATCCTCCCCAACCCTAAGTAAGGAGATAATCAAGAAAGCTTTCTGTTTCAGTAATATTCTGCCTAGAAGAAGATGAGGGCAAGAAGGTGGGATTAGACACGATTAAAAAAAAGAGGGAGAAAGAAAAACATGATCTGTGTAACACATATGCATAGGCAAGCAAATGCTCATGTTCCCTGCAGAACTCCCTTTTCTTTTCATTCCTCAGACTGCCTCAAAGATCCTTCTTATCAGGTGCTGGTTTCCCCCTGTATAACTGGGTCTTTTATCTGTGGTGCACTTTACCCATGAATTCCTTGCCTCTCATTCTCTTGCCCCCAGCCAATGTCACTAACTCTATCTTCCCACTCTCTGGGTTTCTTCTCCATTTTCATCAATTCCTAGCATTTACCCTTTTCTGTTGCTGCTCCTTGCAGAATGTATTCATTCATTTATTATTCCTCATAGCTCCCAGGATATATTTCTGATTTTCTTTGCCTTAAAAAGCAAAACAAAACAAAAACCAGTAGTCATTCTATATTTCTCTTTCTTTTCTTTAAAAGAGAAAATATTTTGAACAAAATACTCCCTTCTCTTTAAGAGTGGTCACTATACATTATTTTTAATTCTCAGCACCTAGTATTGAATAGGTAGGAATGAGCCCCAAACTAGGGTACAGGTACAACAATAAATTGCTGTCATCCCCTAAATCTTACAGTAAAGGTGAATGGAAGGTCCTGTTGTTGATAGGAGAAAGTTTTCTATTCAGTAATATTCTTTCTAGGAGAGGAAGACAACAGTGTGGAATTAGATATGATTTAAGAGGCAAAGAAAGAAAATTACTTGGACCAAATTAAGCAGTCCCTTTGTTGTAATTCAGTCACGTCTGACTCTTTGTGTCCCCATTTGGGGTTTTCTTGGCAAAGATACTGGAGTGATTTGCCATTTCCTTCTCCAGCTCATTTTACAGATGAGGAAACTGAGGCAAACAGGGTTAAGTGATACAAAGCTAATAAGTGTCTGAGGTCAAATTTGAACTCAGGAAGTTTAGTCTTCCTGACCCCAGGCCTGGCACGCTATCCACTGTGCCATCTAGCTGCCAATCAGACTGTAAGAGAGGGCAAAGAATGGGAAAGGCTGGCATCTATTTTAATCCACTTACAATAGCAAAGCCATTACAAAGATAAGTAGATAGTTTATTGAAATCTCAGGGTTTCCCAGATCATAATCCAACTTATGATTTTAGTTTCCAAGACAGATAGAAAAGGATTACAGGAAGATCAATGCTATTGCCAAATTAGGTGCTTATCCCTGAGAACTGATTATTTTTGGGGCAGCTAGGTGGTGCAGTGGATAGAGCACCAGCCCTGAAGTCAGAAGGACCTGAGTTCAAATTTGACCTCAGACACATAACTCTCCCTAGCTGTGTGAATCTGGACAAGTCACTTAACTCCAATTGCCTCACCAAAAAACCCCAACTGATTATTTTTATAAAATTGTGGGGCTTTATTAAGAAGAAACCAACTGTAGAACTATTCAAAGAGTGTTTAGATGGCCCTTTAATAGGGCAAAGATAGCTAAAAAAGAGTATAATTTTGGTGGGTTGTTTTGAGTATTAAAGAATTTCCTGCTTTTCGGTCATGGGTCAAGAAATTGTTGTCTGGAATGAAGTCTTGGATCTAGAGCTGGACAGAAGCTCAGAGGCCATGTATGTCATCTTATTTTATACATAGGGAGCTGAGGCCTGGGGACAGGAAGTGAATTGCCAGAGGTCACCCAGGTAGTGAGCGGGACCTATGATTCTGAAGTCAATGTTCTTTCCACTGTCCTACGCTGCAGCTTTTGGGAAGACAGGTCTTCAGTACAGAATTTATTCTGAGTAGTCAAAATTAACTGGGGAATTAAATTCAAAGCACAGGAACTTATCATTTGCCTTTGCACCATGAAACCTTGTGGCAGGAATTAGTCACCTGCTTTTTCTTGTGGAAGTCACACTGTAGAGTTCTTTATTAATAATATAAGGTGAGACAGCCAGTAAAAAATAGATATTTTTCTGCATAGGTTTCCAATTTAGAAACTTCTCTTGAGTGCCTGGAAAAAGTAAATAGGACTATGAATAGACAAAATAAATAGGACAAGTGAGAAGTCCAAAAGAATTTTTGAAGTTGAAAATATTAAGGTCAAGTTATCTGCACTTATAAAGTAAAATGCATCTCTAAAAAATGTTTTGTAGTTTTATATAAATCCTACACCTTACTTGGTATGTTAACTCCTAGATTTTTAAATGTAATCTGTGTTTTCTTCCTATGTTTTGCTAATAATATACAGACATGATGACATTTTCTGGATTCGTTATTAGGACTACTATTCTGCTGAAATGACTTAAAATTGTAAATTCTCTAGCGTATTCTAAGTAAATCATTGTGTGAGAGACTGGGTTTAATATTTGCAAAGAGGGATTATCTTGTCTTGTTAGTTTATTCCTTTAATTTGCCTTTCTTGTAATTGTTATAGCCAACATTTGAGCACTACAATAAATAATAAGAGTGATAATGGGTACCCTTGCTTCAATCTTCTAGGTTCTAGTGTTTTGCCATTAAATTAATGCCAAATCTTGATTTTACATAAATGTTTTTGAAAACACAGGGATAATGTCCTTACATTCCTATGCTTGTTAGTGGTTTGTTTTTCTTAACACATAAAAGTCCTATATTTGTTGATAGCTTTTTAAAAAATCTACTGTAATACTTATGTATTTGCATATTGATATTGTTTATTTTCTAGTTTTTCTTATGTTAGACCATCCTGATACTCAAACTCATTATATCTTCGAATTTTTCTTGGCAACCAATAATTTCAAGATTGTTTCATCAAGTGGTCCTCTAGCTTTATTCCTTTGGTTTATAGAGATTTATATATCCCAGTTGAGTTGCTATTGGGTTTTTTTAAGTTTTACTTAGTTATTTGTTCTGCCATCCTTGCATTTTTGTCTTCTACCAGTGCCACTGTTCTCTTTTAACAATTCTTTGCTTTATTAGGATTTTCATAACTATTTTAAGCTGTCATTTCTCATTTTTATCTTTTAAAATTCATCTTTGAAAGATATTTTATCTATCATCCTATCCTAGGTTCCAGATTTTCATTTATATCACTTAATGAGTTTTTAACCCATTCTAGAGATTCTTATGATAAGTTTATTCTCTGTTCCAGAGGATCTAGATGTTGCAATATTTTCCTTTTCTTCTGAAGATTTCCGCTGTCTTTCCTTTATGTTAAAGTAAAAGTAAAAATGCATCTCTCTCTCTTTCTCTCTCTTCCTCTCTTCTCTTCCCCTCCCCACACATACACAGAGATATATAGATAAATGTATGTATACATATGTGTATATATACATTATATACAGATGTGTGCATATATATATAGAGAGAAAGAGAGATAGAGATCTTGAGAGAGATATGCATATTTTGCATTTTTTGTTCAGGTGCACCTCTGAAGGCATGGTTAAGGAGTTGCCAGTTAGAAAGGTTGCATATGCATGGGAAATAATTTCATGGAGGTTCCAGGTATAGAAAATTCCTGAAAATTGAAGTGATTTTGGTCAAAAAAAGGAGACATGCATTAATGATTCTTGGGGCAGGGTTCAAGGCTACTTTAATCTTTTCCAATAAACCCACTTTTCTTAATTGGTTGTAGGGGAGAAAAAAAGGGAAGGAATGGAAAAAAATTTCAAAAATAGCAGAATACTTTTTTTCAGGACTGAGGATAGGTGGGAGTGTGCCCCTGCTGATTTGGCTTCTCTTCTGTCAACCATGCATTTGCACTAGTTTAGAGACAAGGTTATACATAGGCTTAAAGGACCCTTTCATATCTCCCATAGTAAATTAGCTGCACCAGATGTTAAGCAGCTATCCTTCCATAGCATTCCCACTAGTTGGCAGTAGTGAGAGTGCCATCACCCATATATTAGGAGAGAGAAAACTAGACCCTGATACCATAGCATGAATATAACTGGCATGCATATATTGAAATTCACTTCCTTCCAGCTGTGTCATTAACTCATTTTCCATTTCTGAGAAGACATTCCTCTGTAACACAAATGATTGTCACAGCCAAGTGTAACAGCCTTCTAGAGACAAAACAATTTGAAGACAATTGGGAGTCAGACTGCCAATGAACTTCCCTTATGGATTCTGATACAAAGCAACAGTCCTAGCAATAGGCTCTCCTTAAAATGGAAGTGAGTACTATTGTCAATCACCCCCCCCCAAAACTCCCAGAGCCTTCAGTACCCAGTGAGAGCTAGGTGGAGTGTGTACCTCTACTGGTCTTTTTTCCCCTCTTATTTGTTCTTGACTGCTGAGGGGACAAAAAAAAATCCTTCCAATTTTTTGGCTTCCTCAAATCTAGGTCCTTCTCTTAGAATCTACGTGAAAGAAGAAGAAAACTCCCAAAATAGCATCAGAAAGGCTTAAGTGAACAGCCCTTGCTGCCTCATCATAAAAATGGAGCCAGAAAAAAAAAAATAAAAGTGGAACCAGGCTACTGAGGCGCCTTCCAGATTTTGAGTTAAGAGCACTGTTGCTTGTATGTTATGTTCATGAGTTGTAAGGGGTCCTCACTGGATAGAACTCCTACTCCAGAGGTTCAGGATTCTAATATTTTTTTGTGTGTCAGAGTCCCCTCTGTCAGTCTGGTAAAGCCTATACACCCCTTTTCAGGATAATGTTTTTAAATACATAAAAAGATACATAAAGGATTATAAAGGAAATCAGTTGTATTGAAACACAGTTATCAAAATATGTTAAAAACAAGGTCATGTACCTCAGATTAAGAACCCCTGCTATGGAGATTTGAATATACAAAATAATGTATGTCTTTGAAACTGTCTAAAATTGAACTGTAACTCCCACCCCCATGTACATGCTATGTATAACAATTTTTCAGGTGAGTCCCAGGACTGCCCCCTCTTTATACCTCCCAGATCAGGTATTATTAACCTGGGGCCCATGGACACCCAAAGGATAGATCTTAGATGGTCCATGAACTTGGATAGGAAAAAATACATCTTTATTTTCATTAACCTCAAACTGAAATTTAACTCTTTTAATTATGAATGTAGGTAACAAATATTAATATGAGAAGTGGTCAGTAGGCTTCACTAGACTGCTAAAGGTGTCTATGACACAAACATGGTTAAGAACTCCTGTTCTAAATCAATCATGATGCCACGAAACCCCAAGGCCTTAGGGCAGGAGTGTGTGTAGGAAGGTATAGATAACTTTATCACAACCAATTGTAAGGCTCGAAGTCCTCAAGGCATAGATTATGAAGTGGAGGGGAAAGTAATGGATGAGAAGGGGAAGGGAGAGCACTTGGTTGTAAAACCACTGACACCCAGCTAGTGTCTGTGGTGTATGTTCTGCACAGTAATACTTCATCCTTTTTATGCCCCTAGGGGACCTGGACAAGCCTAAATCAAGGTGCCATGATCAGCCACATCTCACTTAATCAGGACTGACCAGTTGTGGACTTTCTGGTTATTACAAAAAAAAAGTGAAGCCACTGTTGAGGAGAGTGCAGTTTTTTGTTTAAAAACCAAAACCAACTTTTAGTACTAATCAGTCATATCACTTTTATTTCCAGATATATCTTTCCCATCCCCATATAGCCATTTCTTGTAGCAAATAATAAAAAGGAGAGGAAAAATAAATTCAATGAAATTGACCAACCTATTGCCTTAATCATTCCTGGCAGTTTATGCAATGTTCTACATTCATGATTGTCCACCTCTGCAAAGAATAGAGGAAGGTACATGTTCTTTTTCTTCAAGGCCAAGATTGATCATTACAGTAGTGTTTTCATTGCCTTACAGACTCCGGACGTGGTAGGAAGTGATCACTTGGTGTTATTGAAAGGAGGCTTGCTCCCTTGAATATACTGCAACAGTAGTCTCTTGACTGCCCAGAACAGACTGTTAAAAAGTTCAACCTTTGTTCCAATTTGGGACTTAGCAAGAAATATTTATGAGAGACTCTTACATTTCTTACTCTATAGGTTCCAGATATTCAAAGGTACCAATCAGCCTTGCAAATAGCAAGCACCTACTTACCTAAAAGTGAAATGGCTGGGCTGGTAATTACAATGATTTGTATTGTATATTATATATTAGTATTCATTTCAAATACCTTCTATTATATTTATACTTACTGGATGTATTCCAGAGGTGGGAAAATGTATAGGATTAAATATTCTTGCTCTATAAATACAGAATGAGCCATTTTCTGTTTTCTTTTTAATTTTTAAATTAAGCTCAGAATAGCAGTCAAATAAACAGATCTTATTTTAACAAGGTGTTACTGATACTTGAATAAAGAAAAAGAGAATATTTCATGTTTATTGTTTCAACATTTGATATTTAATTATTAAGTGAGGTAAAGGGATTTCTTATAATCTAACTTACAGTTGCAAGTAAACTATAGTTTTACTTAAAGGTTTTCAGAAACCTACATGCTATTTTAGTTCCTTGTTTTACATATTTTCCTAGGAAAAAATGATTATAATGCACCAATGTGTTATATTAATTATCCCTGTCAGATATGGGGACTGCTTTTTAAAACATATTTATTTTGTTTATTTCAGGGCTTTTGGAATTTTTAACTGTACTCAGGACACCATAATTTTGCTTCATTCTAACTAAATGGCCCTAAAATAGACATGCCAGATTATAACTTTGATAACCTTCTCTTTCTCTGTGCATTTCAAAGGAACTAGGTTTGGAAAATCTAGAATCCAAATGGAAATTTGTTATATTCTAAGCTGTAAAATGGGGTGGTTATAAAAGTCCTGCATTTAGTTTCAGAAAACCATCAGTACTAGCACAGGTGAAATAATTGAATAACAGTTCATGAGGGGAAAAGATTTAGAAATTTGAATAAAGTGCAAACTCAATATGAACTGAGTCTTAATTAGCATGAGGACATTGAGTTTGTGTTTGAAGATGCCAAGGTCAGGGTGAGAGTGAGACAACCTTTCTCTGAGGTTTTCTTCCTCTCCAGAATAACACATTTTTACCCTGTGGCCATTGTACATCA